CACTGTACCATGTAGTTCTATGTACTCTGTACAAGCTGCTGTGTAACACAAGTCAAAGAGCTGATGAAAACAACCCAAGTTGAGAGAACAGCACAAATCCCAACTTTCGCCGTAATTCTAAGCAACAACATTTTTTATATGTTGTACATGTATGGGTAATCTTGTTAGTCTGTTCAGAAAAGTCTCTAGCCTGAAACTAGTACAGTTTCCGGCCTTTCTTTTTACCAGTGATTGTTGCCAGGCAGTGAAAATGCCTTGGCGAAAATTATCTAATGCCGTAGATGTAATTCATATGCACACATAAATACTCGCAGAATCATTGATATTAATTATCATGTACATTTCTGTTTCACAGCATTTTGGATACCGAAGAGCAAATTGTTATTCTCTGGCTGTGCGATCGGTGCATAAAGCATTAATATATTCAACATCTGCTAAAATTAAAAAGAAACGACGAATGAGGAAGGTAGGTTTCGATTTTCTGACCTGAACATATTGCTTCACTTTTAGATGAGTCATGGAAAAAAACAAAAGAATTTGCTTTTTTGCCTGTTGAGGATGCTATGTGTCGCTTCAGACCAGAATTTTGTTCCATGTGTGGAGCATTGTGATTCCTAGATTACTGAAATTACGATGACCTTGCACAACTGAACAATGCACATTCAGATTTTGTGAAAACTGGCAATATATTTGACATGTTATAAAAAGGTGGACCAGTTTATTGATAGATGATGATAGTGCATTCTGGGATATGCATGTACAATTGATGGACATTAGTTTAATTCAACTGTATCAGTCCTGTAATTATTTGCGTCACATGATTTGCGATCGAGTGTATTATGATGCAGTGACCATCGCTTTTTTCAAGACCTCAACAAAATTATAAATTTGCATATTAATTTGCATATTTAAATTGTGTCTTTCAGCTATGGATAACCAGGCTATCAGCAGCCACAAAAGAACATCACCTGAAATATCATCACTTTGTTCAAAACCTTAATAAGGTAAGGAATATGCATAATTATTGATTTCATATTCAATAACAAAAAGTCACATTAATATTAAAAACACCATAAAATAATTATTTATAAAATACTTGATTTTTTTTTTTTTTCAGTCTAATATTTTACTGAATAGAAAAATACTGTCGGAGTTGGCAATCTATGAACCCAAGTCATTCACAGTAAGTAATTCAAGACTGGACATTACTAGCATATTGATATACTGATATCTTACAGCCTCAAAACTTTCAACTTCACATTGAGTTCTTCTTAAAAACGATTACCAAGTTTCGTTACGCAAGACCAAGTTTTAAATTAGTTGCATTTTGAAGGGGTGGGCGCTTTACCGAATGTGACCCCAAATATAAAAATTGCGCAAAAGTGGGGGTGGGCGCTTGCCTGGGCATGGGCGCTAATGCGGTCGAGTACGTTATGTTCCATGGGTTGACCTTTCTTAGATTCGTTCATTTCGTGACTATACTTTCACTTTTTTAATTTTGGTGAATATTTTTGTCATGTTTGGTAAAAAATGCTATTTTCGGCTTCTTCTTTGTAACTGCTAGCTCAATTGCTTTGGGTGGATCTCTTGCAGATTTGTTCATTTTGTTACAATAAGTTAAATTCCCTAGTTTTAGTGACTATTTTTGTCATTTTTAAAACTGTCTAACTACGGTGTATACCGGAGCTGTATGAATGAAAATCAGTGATTACAAAACATTAGATGGTGCATCATTTGTTTGTCAGAAAAGCACAACTTCAATCAAAACAATCACTTGAGACAAAAAAAAACAGATTATAAATAAACTGAGTTTTATCATCGCAGATTTATTACATGAACATGTCAAAATAAACTTCATCTGTTTAGTATCGTCATGGAGATGTTAAAATTTGTTTTATCTTTAGAAATTGCTAATTGCCCCTTCATTGTGCAGTGAAATCAACAACAATAACTCATACTGCAACTTCAATAATAATGAATTTTACTTCAGTAATGCGCTATGCTATTGCAAATACTCGGTAAATTTTCCCACACAGTATTCTGATTGACTGATGGCATTTTCAGGTCAAAGAACACCATAGTAGTTCAACTCGTGATCAAGTAAAAAAAATACAAACTTGAAGTTTACGTGTATTTCATAGCAAACCAAATAAATTACTATTTTTTGTATCAACCCATGACTGAATAATCAGAAATGCTGTTAGAACCTCGGAAAGATTAGGTTATTTTTGTGTGTGTACGTGATTGTTTGCAAGATGTTCTTTCAGTGTTCCTAAAGCTTTTTGGTTTTTTTAATTAAAGTCTAACCAATCTTTCAAGGAGGAAAATCTGAGGTAGACAAAATATTTGAGAACAATGAACAACTCACTCATCTTCACTATTAATGATAATCTGCTGAATAATTAGGTGATAACATTTTCAGAATAGGCATTTTAGCGTTTTTGTGATATCGCAGTATTAATAAAGAGTATACCGTTTTTGACTCCCATGTGCGAAGCACAAAAGGGAGTCTTTGCAGTTATCCTGTCTGTATGTATGTATGTATGTATGTATGTATGTATGTATGTATGTATGTATGTATGTATGTATGTATGTCACTTTTTTTGTTCCACTGTTATCTCAAGAACCACTAATCAAATTTTGGTGAAACTTGGTACATAGATGCTCTGGGATAATGCGCAGAGTTGATTAGGTTTTGGTAAAAATCTTGGTACATAGTTACTTGAGGACTGTGCAGAGACCTAATTAGTTTTTGGGTAAATATGTGTGCATATTAATCGCCTTATTAGCATAATTAGTTAATTTTCAGCTTTTCACCTGATATCTCAAGTACTAATCATCACATTTCAATGAGACTTGCGACATTTTCTAGGACTATGCAGAGACCTGA